CTAACACTTCTTCACCACCTTCAAATTCAGCTTTTCCCAAAAGTGTAACAAAATGATTTACTTCTTCTTCAACATCACTTTCTTCCTCTGAATCATCTTCTATTCTCTGTATTGATTTTTCTTTTCTTATTTTCTGATTACTAACACATTCATGTTGAGTATGTCCAATACCTTTGCACCCAAAACACTTTACATCCTTTTTCTTGAATGTAGGACATTCATATTTGAAGTGTCCATACCCTAAGCACTCATGACATTGCATATTTGCCTTCTTAATAATTTTACCTTCTTCTGGATATTTTTTGCTTGAGCTGAACCTCCTCTGTCCTTGTTCTTCTTCTACCTTCCTTAATAGTTGATCAAGTCTTTGAAACAACAAACTTTTAGGATCATATTCTTCTGCCTTTTGAGTTTTCTTTTCAAGAGAAGTTAATGCCAAATCCTTTGGATTTTTCACTTTCTGCACACCCTCTAGTTCCATCTCATGAGCTTGAAGCATTTCGACCACATCTCCAAAGCTAAGGTCTTCCGTGTTATGTGACACACTTAAGGCAGTTTTGTATGCCATGAATCTTGAAGGTAAACATCGTAGAAACTTCTTGACTAGTTTCTTATCTTTGTACTTCTTTCCAAGTGTCAATGCTTCGTGAGCTAGAGAACTTATCTTTGAACTAAAATCAGAAATTGAATCACGTTCTTCCATCTTCAGATTTTCGAATCTTGAGGCCAACATGTCTTTCCTTGAGTTCTTCACCTTTGTGGTTCCTTCAAAGTGATTTTGCAAGATATCCCAAGCTTCTTTTGCTGTTTCACATCCCTGAATTAGTTCGAACTGGTTTCTTCCAACATTAATGTGAATAGCGGTGAGTGCCTTTGCGTTGTACTTTGATTTTTTCAATTCATCATTAGTCCAGTCCTTCTCCGGTTTAGCAACCTCGGCTCCTGATTCATCCTTGATTTTTGGTTCTTCCCACTTTTCCAATATGGCTTTCCAAGCATAGACATCAATGCCTCTTATAACCGCCTTCATCCTTGATTTCCAAAAACCATAGTTTCCATCATTCAATATTACTCTTGATCCGATGTCAAGTCCATGATAGCTCTCCATCTTCTCCACAAGATCTCACCTGTATGCAATCCTCACAAGTGACCGCTCTGATACCAATTGAAAGTGCAAGAGCTATTAAGTACTTGAGAACTAGCTCACGATATAAGACAGAAACTGAGTCAGGAACTGAGTCACAAGCTGAGACACGAATTTCTTTTTAAAACTCTTTTGATTAATAGAAAATACGTTTACAAGGTCTTCCTTAAACTATTTTCTATTCTCTCAATCTCTCGTTCTTAGATCACAACCCGATCTAGAACTCTCTCAAGACAAATCTCTTAGCCCTCTTAAGCATTATGCTTTCTCACAAGAAACCCCATAACCTTAATGTCTAAGAATTCTCTTTCTCTCTTGTGCTCTCCTTTTCTAAAGCCTAAGCCCCCTATTTATACTAAATAGGTCGTGGCTATACAACAAGCCGATTTCCTATTCTAACACTAATAGGAATAGACAATTTCCTTTTTCTTAAGGATAAGGAAATTGTCCTTTCTCTTCATGTTTCCATTTCTTCCTATGAAAAGGAAACTCTTCAGTCTTCTAGAATCTTCTCCAAGCTTCTAGTATCCACAGCCAACCGCCATAGACCGACTTTACCAATTTCCAAATACTTGCTTCACGTAATTCTATTCTGTTGAACTACTTCTTGTACTACTCTGAACTAGTTCAACGACTACTTCAGCAGCTTCATCTTCACTCTTCGCCTTCTATAAATGTCGCTTTCTGTTTCTCTTCATCTTGATATAAAACTCATTAAGAATACATCAACAAGATTCGCCGGTCATTGTCATCTCCGGGAGATGTGACAGTCTTATCTTTTGAAGAACAGTGAGAGAAGCTGAAGGGTCAACAAGAAGCAAAAACAAAACACTACTCTTCAAAGTATTTTTCTTTATCCTGTTTATTCTTTGGAGGGAAAGTGGGAAACCTAGCATCTCAACCAGTCAAGTCTAACACGTCATATTCTATTTGAACCAAGGACCGGTTGAACCGCAGAAACCAATTTAAAATTGGTGAACCGGCTTAAAAACTGAAACCAATTTATCGTTTAGTAACTTTTTGTAAGAGTTATTTTCTTTTCTTTTTTGTGTTTTTTTGAATTGTTGTTAATTGTGTTGTTAAGACTGCCTAAACGAAAGATGAAGAGGAGCAACACTGATCTGGAGGGAAACTCTACAGTTATATCGATTCTTCACTTCACATCACAAAAACGTCTGTGTACTTCAACTGTGGTTACAATGAAACTCCACTGTACTTACGAGTTACGACTATGCAACGATGTCACATTAACACTCAAACCCATCTCTCTCTTCTTCTTCTAATATTTTCAAAAGGTCAAACTACTAAATCCGAGATATGTACTCCTAAGCTGTTCACTGGGACTGTGTACCTCAAAGCTGAAGAAGCTCTATATAGCTGCAAGGCGGTCTTTCTCCAGAAGATCCACAAGGCCACGAGGAGGGTATTCGAAGAAAACTAATTCTTGAGGCTGTTCTTCTGATCTCTTTGCTAACCATTCTGCACACGAGTTCTGTTCTTTGGAGATATGGTAAATGTCACACTCCCACTCCTTCAATATCATGTCCTTGCACGACCCCAGAAGCGTTTTCCTTTTACAAAACAGGGACGATCTTGTTGTTAGAGCATTGATGATCTCAAAGCTTGTTGTCTCCAAGTGGATTCTTCGGAAACCGCTGTCCCACAGAAATTTCAGGCCATGGTATATAGCCAAAAGCCCAGCTGCGACTTCAGGGATGCTCCTATGGCACCTGATGTACCCAAACACCCACTTCCCTGATTGATCACGCACTATTCCAGCCGATCCGGATAGATCAGATAGAGGGTTTGAAGTTCCTTGTATATTAAGTTTCACCAAAGGTGGTGTCCATATCTTCTCGAAACCAGGAGGTAAACTTGTTTCTCTGTTCACCTTCTCTGGTGATCTTGAGGGAGTGTTTTGTGATTCTGTAATTAGCTTCAGAGCCACACTTGGGGTCAGGCATTCAGTGTCTATGTCCATGTCAACAACATCCCCATCATCAAAT